CCTGGGTAACTTAACACAGCCCTATGTCAGAATAAAAATAAAGGATTTGGGATGTAGTTCAGTGCAGTCTCCAGGTTCAATCTCTACTATTGCAAAACAAAACAACCACAAAAGGAAAAAACCTTAATGTATAAAGGGTCCTTAGGGAACTTAAAAGGATTGGTGTATGTTGTCATTTGATTATTGCAAAGAGTACTTGGAGGTGAGCAATCCAAAATGTATATTCCCTTTCTTAGATTCATCTCCTACTAACTGCCTCTGGTAGTTTGGATGCCGAATATCTCCTCGCACACAGATTTAGACCTTATAATGTTGTTATTTGGAGGCAATGGAATGTCCAAGGGGCGGGGCCTGTTGGGAGGTCTTTAGGTCATTGGACGGGGTAGTCTTCAAGGCCACTGTTAGTACTATGTCTTTAGTCTGGATTGTCTTTCCTTGCCTTTTTCTTTTTCTTTTCTTTTTTTCTTTTTTTGCAGTACTGGGGATTGAACTCAGGACCTTGTGCTTGCCAGGCAAGCACTTATTCTACTGAGCTATCTCCCTGGCCCTTTTCCTTGCCTTTTTTCTATATGGAAAAGTTCTTTTCTTAATTTTTATTTTTATTAGTATATGGTTGCAGGACATAATTATATTCACTGTATTGGTATATGTAATTGGTATGCGTGAATATTGGTATGTGTAATTGGTATATGTAAACAACAAATCTTAATTCCTTTTATGGCCCCTTCTACTCTGTACACCTCTTGCCCCCCATCTCTTGGTCCTCTTCCCATTTGCAAAAGACCCATGTCTCTGTTTCCTATTACTTATCTTCTATTTTGTTTTTTAACTTATTTATACTTTGGCAAAGTTCTATACCTTCCTCAGCTACTCAGATATACCCTTTTTTCTACAGCCTTTCTACCTCCCTCACCTACTCCTTCCTCCATAAGCACTGCTGCCTCCCTGGGCCTGTGGCTCTTGGAGGTTAACTCTATTATAAGCATTATAATTAGTTGTTTAAATATACTCTCCTGGTTCCTGACCCCCTGCAGCCTGATTGCCAGCTGACTTAGAATAGAAACCTGGCTTTACCCCCCCCCCTTGTTTTCCTGTAACCTAGTGCAGTAAAGGGAAACACAAAAGTAGTCAAAGGGAGAAACAATGACTGTTAGCTCACCTCTCCTCACTGGGGTGTTTCTTGAATGAAGAAAGCCATTGGAAAGGGGCGTGGCCATATTGGTTTTTGTCTTGTACCAGGATGAGGAGTTTGGGCTTTGTTCAGTATTTGTTCAGAGTAACTTCTATAGGCCCAAAGCAGTGTTTCTAGAAGATTAATCATGAATTGGAGGTGAGAGGCCAATTAAGAAGCAATTATAGGGGCTGGTGAGATGGCTCAGTGGTCTAAAGCACCTACTTAGAACAAGCTTAGCAAAGCCCAGGGACCACGGTTCAATCCCCCAGCACCACATGCCAGCCAGCCCGCCCCCTGGTGGACTGAGCTGGCCACACACACACACACACACACACACACAATTAAATAAATAAATAAAATTTAAAAAAAAAGAAGCAATTATAATAGTACAGCTATAGACAGTAAAGGTTGATGAACATAAAGATAAAACAGTTAAAGAGGCCTAAAACAGTGCTTCTCAAATTTTAATGTGCACACCCATCAACTAGGAACTTTACTGAAGTGCATATTACTATTTGGTAGGTTTGGGGTGAGCTGCCTGAGACGCTGTATTTCTAGGAAGTGAGAGCTGACGTTACAGAGATTTGCATGGTCCAGTATAGTATCCTCAGCTGTACTATGCAGCCTAGATGGCTGACCACAACTCAAACCATTACTGCAACTGGGGCACTAAATGCTTACTTCAAAGTGATTTTAAGTAGTCCAAATTTACACTTGATAACTGAGGGAATGCAAACTATTTCTCCAGCACAGGAAACTTTCCTCTCCTGGTGAGACTGCCCTTCATTGTGAATGTTACAATTCAGCATCTGAACTGAGATGTGCTGCTAAGTATAAAAGATACACAGGGCTTAGCTTATTTAATACAAAAAAGCAATGTAAAATGTCACACTGATTATTTTAATATTGAAATAACATTGAGGGCTTATTGGATTCAGAAAGATAACATTTGAAATGACCTTCACTGATTCCTTTGCACCTTTTAAAAATGTGGCTACCTGGAAATTTGAAATTACAAAAGAGGTGTCTGTTTTATTTATTCAGGACAGCAGAGCTCGGACCCTTGCTGTGAGAAGCCAGGTGCCACAGTACTGAGCATCTCACCTGGCGCTTTCCTGAGTGGGCAGACAGCAAGCTGGCCTCTTACACACAAGTCCGCGTTCATTTTCACAATTTTATTACAAAGATGCTCAGTTGACTTGAAGGATTTAATCGTTGCTTATTGCAAACCTCTGGAAAGTGGCTTTGCAACATAGTATTCTCAGTAAATACCTAGCCAAATGAACAACCTCAATAGAAATACTTTAAATAAAATATCAGTCCCTTGATTTATCACAGAGGGATGTAAAGGGTGCAGAGCCAAGATTAGAGATGATGTCTTTTAGCATTGTGGCGTGGCTGTTTCTGTAAATGCTGCTTCCCCCAGAGAAAACCCTTTCTTTTAGTGTTCTTCAAATTGGTCCTTCAGGGACTGTTCTACATGATCCATTTTGTGAAGAGAATATTGCCTGGAAAATCTTAATCATATAGTTGCTACTGGTTATGCTACCTCTGCCTCTAAAGTTCATAAGCATCCTCAAATATATCTACTACATGAATATTCAAGATTTATCAACTTGCAGTTCTTACGATTAAAGCATGATTCAGTTTTAAGAAATCACTAAAACCAACTCATACAACAAGCCTGTTCATTTCATGCATTCAGCATATATTTGTGTAAGACCTATATGCTGGTCATTATTGTAGACATTGAGGATTTAAGAGGAAAAACAGAACGAATAAGCTTGGTGGCGCACATCTGTAATCTCAGCTATCCAGGTAGATCACTTACCTAGAGTCTTCCAGGGCCCAAGCAACAATCCCTAGCACTGAAAAAACAAAACCAAAACAACCTCCAAATTCATGCTGTTCTCAGGCTTACATCCCTGAAACCTCTGAAGGTAGCACAATTTAATTAGAAGTCAGGTAGTGATGAGTGACCAAAAAAAAAAAGGTAGTTTGTGTAGCTTGGCAGGATGTCTTTATCCAAGGCAGTACTGTCGTCATAGAAAACTGAATGTAGTTAGGGTGTTGTAGCCACAGCGAATCTGGGGGTGAGCACTTTGTATGGAGCACATCAAAGGAGCCAGCACCTCAGGTGGGGGTGGAGGTGCTCGGCTAGGAGGACTGGGTGGCTGCAGCTGGTCTCCCTCAGGGAGGCAGGGAGTGCAGGAAATGGGGCCGGCCTAGAACCCTGTAGCAGACTGTGTGGGGCTGGATGTGCCACGGGAAGCTCTGTGGCTACTCTAAGCAGGCTCTGAGGTCTCAGGAGGGTCTAGCTGAGGAGGGCCTTCCCCCAGCGTCTGCTCTCCTGGGCACGTGTGTGCTCTTGTGGCTGCAAGGCAGGTGGAAGAACAGTAGTCAGTATGGAAGCCAAACAAGTCATTGTTATTTATGTAGTTTCCTATTTATTACCGCCCAAGCCATATATTCATCTTTTGTTCCACCCACATTGTTGCCAATTTCTGTGCTTTCTCTGCCAACTAAAATCCATGTATCCATATTCTCGTATCTCTAATAGTTTCTCTTGAGATAAGGTATGATTACAAAATGTGAATGTTTAAATTATTACACTAAAAGACATTGCCATTACTCCTCCTTAAAATACTCCCCTTTTCTTTGAACACATTCATGTCATCATTTTCGCCACATTCTGAAGCCATTCTGGAGGTCCTCTTCCGTCTTTAGATGTCCCGTTGTGGCTTCCTTGTGTTTGGAATCAGTTCCAAACATTTACCTTTCATGGTCTTTTTTTTTTTTTTTAACTAAAAGAGCTAACAAGTTTATCTTCATATTTCACAATACAAATGAAACTGTACTTTCTGCACTTTTGTTTATCATACTTCTCCCTTCAAAACTATTCTTTGATAGGAAGGGGGAGCGACTCTTCCTTGTCATTCATGCTGTTAGAAAACTCCGAGAGGTCAGCACCATGATCCCCTGGTGAAGCAGAACAAATAATATAAAACTGACACAGAGAGGTCGCCCCTCCACTTTATCTATCTGGCCGAGTCGCTCCTGGCCGAGTGGGCACCATCATGGGCCAAGCCAGCGATCGCATCATTGGCGGCCCAGGCATCATGGGCATGTGACCTCCCACGGGTGGCCTCATTCCAGGAGCAGGTCCCACTGGCATCATCCCAGGAGGAGGGGGGCTCATCACTGGCATCATGGAAGGGCCTCCCATATGGGGTGCTGCCATCATACCAGGGCGAGGAGGACCCGGGAGACTGGGTGGAGGTGGGATCACAGCCCCTGCTGGGGGAGGAGTGGAGAATGGAGTGGGAGGTATCTTTCCTTGTTGAAATGCAGCCATTGTTTTGTCAGTCAGGTTCTGAGCTTACTTTTCCATCCATTTCTGGTAGTAGTCTTCCATATTCTCTTTATGTTTCCTACCACTGCAGTGTGTCTTTCTCACAGACAGAGAGTCATGGGTGAGGTACATATTGCAGTAGTTACAATAAAACCTAGTCATGTTGCTTTACAGGGTGTTGGCAGCTCTCTCATGGTCATTTTGACTTTGGGAACGGTCTAGAAGTCGTGTGGTGCCAGATCCAATGAATGAGGAGGATGAGGCCTCACAGAAGTGTCTTTATGAGCCTGACTTTCTGTTGGGGACCCTTGGCAGCCGCATTCACTGCCTTTTTGGTCACACCTCCTAAAGACCTTGCATTTTTATACAGATAACTGTATTGATGTACATATTTTACAATTTTTTTAATCACAGAAACTTGTGTCATACAGTTGCTACATTTATTAATATATATCTTTGTTTTTTTCTTTGCAGGTAATCAATTAACTAATTGTAAAAACCATATTTTGGAGTTTAAGGGACATATACTACATTTACAAAATAGAAGCAAAAATAATCATGAACAGCTCATGAAAGCCTTGAGTGAGATGCAGGATGAAGTTTCGCAGAGAAAAAATCAGTCAAGAAATTTGGGTCTGTGTTTTTGTTTTTCTGTAAGGCAGCTTATTTTTCTTGTGTTTCATTTTTTGGAGATGTAGATTAAATGCATTCTGATTTTTTAGGCATTTTCCTCTCCATAACCATAACTCAGCTGGTACCATTCTCTCACTGTGAGGCTGTGGAAATTAGGTGAAATACATTCACCGATTCTTGATCTCTACTTAGACAATAGTCTTCTGCCTATGAACTGCACCTCACCATTCACCCTGTAAATATGGCCAGCACCTGAGCGCCAGCACCTGGCCACCAGCACCTGGGCACCAGCACCTGGGCGCCCACACCTGGGCGCCACGTCTACCCCCTCTTCCCTCTTGCCTACCTCTGTCAACAAGCAACCCTGTCAGTCTGTATCCTGGCTACCTCACACTTCTGTTCATCTTTTCCATTGCCACCTCCATGACAGTAATCAGGCCACCTTCGTGCTGCATCTCAACGTTGAACTTATCACATACTACGATTGTTCTTTCTTCTCCCCAGTCTTGTGCTCACCTATGTATATCAACTGTGGCCAAAGTGAAAGCTGCACCATCCTGAATATAAACTTTCAGTGGCTCACCATTACTCCAGAATAAAAACCGCTGCCTTGTGTTTCTCCTGTGTAGTCCAATCCTTCATCCACCTTAACCTCTGGCAATCACGGATCAGTTTCTTGGCTACTATCCAGACACAGTCATACAGTGTATCACCCTGTGAGCCTGGCTTCCTCACTTGGCACAGATACATGCAAATTGCTGTGCAAACAGTTGTTTGTTCCCCTTATACTGCTGAATTGTATTTCATTGAATGGATGTACAATGCATACAGTTTTCTGATCTTTTTGCCAATTGAAGGAGATTTGAATTGTTTTGTCTTGGGACAATTACAAATCAGTATTGTTATAAGCATTCGTTACAGGGGTTTTTTGTATGAAGAAAAGTTTTAATTTTTTAAGGATACAACTATAAGTAGGACGGATGTGGTATATGTCAAGTATATGTTTAACTTCACAGAACCTGCTGCACTGTTCTCCAGGGTGGACATACCATTACCATTCTGTGTGCTCTGCAGCAGTGTGTGACATTTCCAGTCACACTGACTATTATGGCCATTCCAATGTCATGACACCTAAACTATAAGTATGAATCCCCCAGGGATGTTCTTACAGTGATGTTCAACATTTTCATGTGCTTATTTGCCACCTAGAAATCTTATTTGGAAAACATCTGTTTAAGTCTTTTCCCCATTTTTAAATTGAGTGGTTTGCTTTTTTGTTGAATTTTGAGAGTGCTACCTACTATCCTAGATCCATACCAGATGGATGCATGGTTTGGAAATAGTTTCTTCCAGTCTGTGGCTTGCTTTGGCTTTTATCTTTTTCTTTTCTTTCTTTTTTTTCTCCCTGGTAGTGGGGATGGAGCCACCCCCAAAGCCTTCACACTGAGCTGTATCCCTACCCCTTTTAAATTTTGAGAGATTTCCCTAAGTTGCCCATGCAAGACTTGAACTTGCAATCTGCCTGCCTCAGCCTCTCAAGAGCTGAGTTTACAGATGTGCATCGCCACATTTAGCTTTCTTTTCTTGCTGTTCTTCAGAGGGCAAGCACTTCTATTTTTCTTGAAATCCTCTTAATCAAGGACTTTTAAGAATGTATTGTTATGTTGCATCTAAGACCTCTCTCCTAGTCTAGGGTCACAAGATTTTTCTTTTGTTTTTGAAAACTTCATAGTTTTATGTTTTACATTTATAGTGTTTTGAAATTGTTGAGTTAATTTTTATAAGTGGTCTGTGGCCCAGATCAGGCTTCAGTTTTTCCACTTGGATCCTCCGGGGCCCATTTGGGCTGTTAACTGTCTCTTCTGCACTGACTGATTGCCTTCGTGTCTTTGCCAGCGATCAGTCATGCATACACATGGGGATCAATTTGTGTATTCTCTAGTCTGTTCCATTGCCTATTTTTATGTAATTCCATGCTGTTTTGGTTACTAAGTTGTATACAGTAAATTAAAATTCAATAATATGATCTCTCTTAAGTTTGCTTTTCCTTTTCGAAATTTTTAAAGAAAAATTTAATGAAGGGTATAAACAGATTCATTAAATATTAAAGGGCCATAAAGTGGTTATAAAGATGTGAACTTTAATGAAGCACTATTTATCAGAACTGAGAAGAAGTCATTTCTCTAGCATGATTCACTAAGAATTAACAGTTCTGTTGGTCTATGGTGTAACTCGTGGTGCTAGGCTTAAAGTCAAATTGCTTCTAGACTACAGAAGTAGCTCAGTGGCATAAGCGCCTGCTTGGCAAATGCAAGGTCCTGAGTTCCATCCCTAGCGCAAAAACGAACTTTAAAATTCCTTCTAAAATAAATATGAATCAGTGATCTTTGAATATGCTTTATTATAGTATAATTTTGATAATTCATATTTAAGAATGCATTTCTCTTTCATACTATATTAGTCTATGGATTAATGCATTAACCCTCATTTAGAAAAATTTGTGTCAGAGAGAAAATGACTATGGCTAAATACTCAGAAGTCCTGTTTATTTTCTCTTTCAGATGAAAAGAAAAGAGATGCACCAAGTGAGGGAGAAATAGTGTCTAATATATTTGAGGACTTTAAGTTCTTTCTCCCTCATCTAAGGAAAGTCAAAAGAATTTATCCTAAAGTAATCATTGGCCAAGGGAAGACAGGTGGTAAGAAACTGGGAAAATGGAAAGGGATTTTGGTCTTGAGGGGAGAGGGAGTATACTTTTAAGTTTGAAAGTGTAACTCACTAATATTGTAGGCAGATTGAGAAGACACCCCCAGCCTACCTGGTGTTAGGAAGGCCATGGTTATCAGCAGCCAGGATATTCTCTGGCCTGGCAGAAAAAAAAAAAAAACAAAAAACACTTGTATAAATATTTAGGAATTTGATTTAAAATTCAATTTTAATACAGATACTTTGCAGATAAGTCAATATAAATCAAACATATGTTAAACATCTGCTAAATACTTGACAAGTCTGTTCTCTTCAGTGTTGAAAAGCTATTTGTTCTTGGCTGCTCTCCTACTTCCCCATCTTTCTTGGGGCTCACTCAGCAAATGTTCTACAGAGAGGCAGTGCTTAAGTTCACCCTTGAAGCAGGAGCTTCTTTACACAAAATAATAAGGAAAAAAAACCCAGTGGAATTTGAAGCAAGGCTATGGGGCCAAAGCTTAGAATTTTATTCTATAGCAGCAGAAGCCATCCCAACTGTTGTACCCAGGGAGCTTGTTCCACCCCTTGAAACTTGATTCCTGTGTCACACTACACGTAAGGATCAATTTCAGATGTACTGTGGGTCTAAGCTGAAAGGCAGGGAGTAGGCCTTTCTGGGGACAACCTAGGAGAACATCCTGAGGATTTAGAAAGAAACAAAAATTTTTCAGAAGCTCATCCAAAAGGATAAACTGTAAAGGAAATGATGATTACAGTGGACCACATTAAATTATAAATTTCTGTACATTACAAGGCAGAATATAGAAAAGGGAACCCAGAATGGGGCGATAACTTTACAACACATAAAAAACAAAAAAGGCTTGTATTTGGGAGATCTAATGAGCATCAATAAAGCAATAAAGGAGCCAGGTGTAGTGTCACATGCCTAATCCCAGCACTCTGCCAAGGCAGCAGGGATAAAGTGAGTGCAGACCTAATCTGATGGCCCCCTCTAATGGCCCCAGATGTTTAATATACATTGATTTCAATGGTAATCAGCAAAACAATTAATTTTAACTATTTGCAAAGTTCAGTCTCTTTCTTTAAATAAACATTTCTCAGATGGTTGAATACTATGACCCTAAAATAACTATTTCATCCATCTTTATTTTTCTTACTGCTTTCTAGGAAGATGATTTTCTGAGTCCCTCACTTAGTCATTCTCATGGCCAATGTGGGAAACTGAGGCTAGAGAGACCTTGCTCTTCTTTCCTCTCACACCGCCAGACACTGGGGCCACCAGGACTGGGTGGGGGTAGACTCCTTGATGAAATCTTGCTAGAGTACTTCTTCAGGGTAACATTGGGCTGCATTTCCTTAGAGTTTCACTTTGTACTGTGCAATAAAAGCCACTTAAGGACACAGAGTCTTTTCATCAAACCACTTAGAAATTATTGCATGCATTTTTCTCATTGATGAAAACAGCAAAGCCTTTTCACTGTTTGGAGTTCCAGGGATTCTTCTAGAAGAAGGGTAGAGGTAGCCACCGTGGGACAGCTGGTATCAAGTTACGTGAAAGCTGTGCTAAGTGGCAAGTGTTGGATTCAATTTTCATTGCACCAAAACCTTCCAACATTGTGGACTAAAATATAATCTCTGGGAAGTGAGAACTCCCCTGAAAGGGAAATGAAAGATGTGATAATGTAGTCAAGATTACTTTTATGATGCAGGTTCAAACAGTTTGTGTAGGCGTAAGACTAACCCAAACATACAAAAAGGCACAGAATCAATGCTTTCGTTTTGGCCTGTGTCTTGAGAGCACACCTCCATATTCCTGTGTCTGCAGTTTCTTTTGCACTAGGTGTTCCCACTGTCAGCAGAGGAAATTACACTTACCTGAAGCAAACGCTAAACGCTATTGTCACCAGGATTATGCCTTGGGAAGAGAAGGATTCTGTGGTGATTGTTTCCATTGCAGATGTATGTATGCTAAGTAAGAAGTTTTTATTCTCCCCCTTATTTCCAAATTTCCTTACTCAGTGGGAACTGCTGTATCATTTTAAATGTCTATTCTAGATTTTTTTAATGGAATCCACACATTCCTGTCTTGGGAATCTTGCATGATACCACACACCAGCGGCGCTGTTACATGCCTATCTTGGGTTGCGGAAAATACATCAATACTTTTTGACTTCACTGTGAAAGAATTAAATATGTAAATTTTCAAAGAAAACAAAATGGTTTAATATGGAGATATAATTTTGTTAAATTTGAATTATATCTAATATAGCATTCTTGTATTCTATAAGACACAGAAATTATATTTACAAATAAGAACACTAAAATTGATGCTATGATAATAAGATGTGCTTAGCCCAATAAAATAATAATAAATGTTGCAGGGTAGGCTGGCACATGCCTATGATTCCAGCATTTGGGAAGCTGAGGTAAGAGGTTCACTGTGAGTTCAAGGCCAGCCTGGGCTACCTAGTGAGTTCAAGGCCTACTACTCATAGTATTTTTTAAAGTTGGTATATTTATCCAGAAAAAAATTGTATCAAGCCACCATAATTATATTAATTAAAGAGCTCCTTCTGTCTGAGAGGTTGTGGGAAATTTTTCTAGAAATCATTTATAAGACCAGGCATGGTGATGTGCGCCTGTAATCCCAGCACTTGGGAGGCTGTAAACAGGAAGGTCACTAAGAGTCCAGTCTATGTAGTGAGACCCTGTACACCCCATAGACCCTTTCCTGAAAGAAAAATCATTGATAACTTGCGTTACACCCTTGTAAAATAGGTATCAACATCCTGATCTTACAAATGAAGGAGCAAGAACTTAAGGAAAGTTAAGTAATTTGTCCAGCAGCCAAAGATTCAAAGTTGCATTTTTCTAGTGACTCCAAAGATTTCTGTTTTAATGGGGCTGGGGAGATACCTCAGTGGAATAAGACAGAGAGAGAGAGAGAGAGAGAGAGAGAGAGAGAGAGAGAGAGAGAAAAGATTTGTATTTTACCCTTAATATCATTCTGGTAATCACTGTAGCATCTGAAAATTTGAGTAGAATTATACAGTACTACTTATATATCAGTACCATACAACTTTTTGAAGGTAATTTGACAAGATATATCATATTTAAAATGTGTAAATCTTTTATCTCAGAAAAGCAAATTTGGTAAACTGCTCCTTAGTAGATAATTATGCAAGTGTTTAAACACAATAGAAATAGGACAGCAGAGAGTCATAGTTGAAACAGCAGACTCTGCAGCTGGGTTGCCAAGGTTCAATCTCAACTTCTACGCTAACCGGCTTATAACTTTGGGCAACGTATTTAAATCCTTTGTGTCTATTTTCCTTGCCTGTTAAATGATGATAATACCATCTGTATCACATCAGGAAGTAGATTCACTAATACACTTAAAGTGCTAGGACTTAATACAATAATGCTTATCTCTGAATGCTGAGAGTTAGAGGAATCAGGGCTATTCTTTCTTTAGCACTTGAATTTCTTGTAATAAATGCATATTTGAATGCAGAGAAAGAAAGCCATCTACATAGAATTTTTCAATGGAAGAACTACTAGAAAAAATGAAAAGATCAAACATGTATTCTAGTTCATCTCAGTTTTATTTTGTATATTGGAAGCATAAACATAATCTCCAAATTGTTTTGATATTTTTCTGTATTTTAAAAATTTTATTTATTTATTTGGTACAGGGACTCACTATACAACTCAGCATGGCATGCACTACTGGGAATCAAACCCAGGTCCTTGTGCTTGCCAGGCAGGCACTTAGACCACCAAGCTATCTCCCTAGCCCTGTTTCTGTATTTTATAATCTTTGTTTGCTTTTTGCACAATGCACATGTTTAAAATGATTAGACAAATAAAATATTGGGGAGCCAACTTAAAAGTGCAATACAGAAGGCTGCACTACAGACTTTAATACAGACTGTAGTTGTATTTAGATACTAATACCTTTTGTTTGTTTATTTTGTTTTTGTACTGGGAATCAAACTCAGGACCTCTCACTTGCTAGGCAGGCACTGTGCAACTGAGCAAGATCCCTGGCCCTTAATATCTTTCAGTGTTAATTGTTAATTCAATTTATGGTTGTCTTAAAAATTTTAGGTACCATAATAGACTTGGCCATATTGTGTCTGGTGTTTTAAACAACCTGATTAGGTGTAGCCAGAGCTGATTTTTAGAGTGCTTTCGGAGTTTGACAATAAAACTGTCATTTTTGAAAATATTTTCAGAATTTTATGTTGGAAACTTTCCAGGGCTGTGGGGTCGCATCTTGTGAGTGGCATCAGTTTTGTTTCATTTTGTTTTTAAACTCTCAAGGAGGTCAAACATCAGACACATTGCACAAATGAGTTTGCCATCTAATCTAGCACACTGCTCAGCATTCAGGACAGAAGGAGATTTGGGAAGCAAGCTGAGTAATCTGGTCACAACTGGGATGTGATTTTATTTTATTTTTAAAAATTTATTATTATTATTATTTTGTATTTTAGGGAAGGGTGTATAGGGTGTTCAGGGTCTCACTACTAGATCAGACTTGTACTGATCCGCTTGTTTACAGCCTCCCAAGAGCAGGGATTACAGGTGTGCGCCACCATGCCCAGTCTCAATTGCTGCCTCAGTGTGCCCTGGGGGCGGGGCTGGCACAGCAGGCCCAGGGATTGAACCCCACCCCACCCCTGCATCTGCTTGCAGGTGCTTTAATCCATTGAGCTAGTTGGCCTGCCCTTGTGGTGTAATTTTAAAGTATGCTTGTTGTCACATAGCACTCAGAAAATGAAGACATTTTCCAAAAGAATGGTTCTTTGAATGAAATCATTGTACAGTGACCATTTTGAGAGCTAAACATTTTGATCTAGTAGATTCTGTGTACTAATGTTTAAGTGTAAAAAGGATGTTTGGTTGTATTTGTGTCAAAGGGAAAATGTAATAAATGTGTATTTAAATGCAGAAAAAGAACACCATCCAAACAGAAGTTTTCTGTATTCAAATCACATTTTTAAATACATGTTCTAAAAAATCTCTTACAAAAAGTGAAAACACTAGAAAATGTGAAGACACTAACATTTTATATATAGATTTCCACATAGCAAGAATGTTTCAATAAGAAAACCATGAATTATACTTTCATTAAGTTTTTCTTGATTTTTAGAGTAATGGAGATTATGTAAAATCAGTTGTTGACATGGTTACAAAAAGGTAAGTATTGTGTGATACATTATAAATTTAGCCATTCTTTTTTATCCTACTTTTCTCTGTCTAATAGTACTATTATTTGTTAATGCTCCTGTTCTTTGTAATGAACGTAGCTGTTCAAAAAGAACCTGGTAGCTGTTACTAAGGGGATAAGGTATAGCTCATGATGTCTCTGATTTGCAAGTTACCTCCTTATTAAAATTCATACATCATTGTTGTTAAATACATGCCCTTCATGAACTTTACTGACACTAACAGAAACTGGCAAATGGTGCTGGGAACACTGTTGTGTCCCCTACTGCACGACGTACAGCTGGTCTAAGCAGCCAGGGCGTGTACTGATGAACCCACACAAAGTAATTTATCGAGGAAGATGCTGTCGAATGACTCAACCTTCCAAATTCTTGTGCTCAAGTGGGCAGTGCAACTCCTGGAAAACGAATCACAGTGTGGAGGCTGCCCTTATGACATGGCATGGCGAAGCCAGTATGAGAATATACAAGAGAATAGAAAAGGGGCTTTCTCATCTGGGCGTAGCTGCCCGCGGCAGCCTCGGCATTCCGGGGGTTGAAGCACGAGTATTATAAGGTCAAGCTCAGCCTGCGCAATTCAGCAACTCAGTGAGACCCTGTCTCAAAATGTAAAGGGCTGAGCATGTAATTCAATCCTTAACATTTAAAGGACTGAGGATATAATTCCATCCCATATGCAAATGAAAGAAAAGAAAAACATTTTTTGAAGAAGTAACAATTGAGCTAAATCTAAATGTGCAAGTAGACCTTCTTCAGAAAGACAGAAATACACTTTAAGGCATTGAAATCACTGAATATTTAAGCTTTGTATTTCTTTTAGGAAATTTATCAAGAATAGTTCAGTGCTTGAACTATATCATTCTATGATGACCACTTTGAGAGCTTGTCATACGGCTCACGAAGCTAACATGTTCTTACTTTGGGAAATTGTAACTCTTCTGAGTTCACATCAGGTCCCAGCATTTTATCACTTGCAGTTCCAGAGTCACGAAATGCTACGTTTTGAGTTTCCTTGATGAGAAGCTCACTTCAGCAGCGCCACTTCCTGTGCAAGCTGCCTTTCAGGGCAACCCCCCTCCTCATTGATCTCCGTTTGGAGCTTCCTCTTCCAGCTTCCCTCTCTGGTGGACCTGGGCCTCCTGCAGCAGAGGCTGTCATTCCCCAGAGCAGCTGGCTTGTCATCACACTGCAGAGCTAGTGCCAGCCTTACTGGCTGCCTTCCGCACTTGCATGTTGGCGGGTTCCCTCTTCAGTTACCCACTTTTGCTAAAGGCCACCCGAGTGCTTACACTAGGAGCCCCCTGAGACAACACAACCGCATGCTTTCTGTCTGTGAGTGAAGTGGACAACCTGTGCCCGGTGAGCAGTCACCAACTGACTTTGAAAGAGGTGTTGTGATTAGTCACTGGTGTGCACCTGTTCTTCCTGTAGTGACTTGGGCACGAAGAATTAGCAGTGAAGTGTGTGCTTTGCACGATTATTCAGTTCATGCACTGTGGTAACTACGGTCAGAACAACACTGCTGGGGGAGACCATTATCTAACCAACACACGGTAACTGTAATGGAGGCGTTCAGAGCGATGTAGGTGGGGCTGCCAGTTTTGCCTAATATTGAAGTCATGCAGGTAAAGTTTTGTCCTGGTTCTTACTTTCGGCAATGAAAGATATAAACATTTTCTTGACCCTTTAACATTTTAGTAAACAATGTAATACCTAAACTTAAATCCTTCTTAGAATGGTATTATTCTCTACAGGAAGATCATTTAGAGTTCTGCCTGGTCTCCTATTCTTTATCTTGATGATATGAGATTAATATTATAGCTTTTGTGAGCAGTACTTTATGTACTTTAGTGATATTCTTGTTGCTCTGTCTGTATTAAGTACAAAAAATAAAGGTGATAAAAATGCACACAGTTCTTTAAGGAATTGTCATTGACTTCCAAATTTAACCCTCGATTACTGTGTTACCTGCTTTCAAAAGTCACATTGCTATATTAAAAATTACTATTATTAAATTCAAATTTATACATTTAAAAAGGATCTAATGGTGTGGCTTTCTTGGAGTGATTACCATATTGCACTAGTTTCAGTATCTTGAATGTCAGCGTAGACTTCTGTTTATAGACTTAAGGGGCCGGGGAGATGGCTCAGTGGAATAAGCGCTTCCCTGGCAAGTGCAAGGGCCTCAGTTCAATCCCTGGTTCCACCAAAAAACAAAAACAAAAAAATCATTGTTTATAGACTTAAAAAAAATAAAAGTAGGGCCAGGGAAATAGCTGAGCGGCATAAGTGCTTGCCTGGCAAGCACAAGATCCTGAGTTCAATCCCCCATACAATAAATAAATAAATAAATAAATAAACCTCTAATTTTAAGAAATGGAAGTTTTTGTTTTTGTTTTTGTTTTTTTTTTTTGCAGAACCAGGGGTTGAACTCAAGCCCTTGCACTTGCCGGGCAAGCACTTATTCTACTGAGCCATCTCCCCAGCCCCCGGAAGTTATTTTAAATGTTAACTTTTGGTATATCTGCCATTAATTTGGAACACAATTACTTTAGCTAAAAAGTAGGTATGTGGTATTGGCACTATGTCAACGTGTGAAACAATTCAAACTACAGTACTATGTGGAAATAAATAAAGAAATACTATTCATGTTTTGCTAAATTCAATATTCAGCCCAAGCATCCATTTACTTCTATTTACAGGTTCAAAAGACAAGTGAAGTCTGGATCCTTAGAGGTTATTTCAGTGCCTGACTTCTTTTATCCAAGCATGCTACATGAAGAACCAATGGATTACTCACAGAGAAAGAAGCGGTAGGCCGTGTTAGAGAACCGTACTGACATAGTTCCTTTCTCCTCACTGGGACACGGTGTCCAGCACCAATGACCTACAGGGGGAGAGGTTTATACCAGCTTATAGTTTAGTCAACCATCAGTTGGGGGAAAGCCAGAACCATCAGTAGGGGAAGGGCCCAGCAGAGAAAAACTGCTCGCACCACGGTGGCCGGGGCCGGTGAGCGAAAGCCGTGTGGTCTTCCCAGCAGCCTGCAGTGACTGCCCTTCTGACCAGGTCCCACTCCGAAGGCATGTCCAGCCTCATATCCATAAGCGGTCAAAGCGCTGATGAGCCCTGGGCCCCCAGGTCCAATCAGCTTCCAGAGCCCCGCCTCAGGGTGCAGGAAGCTTCTGGCCTACCTTCCTAATCAACACCGTAACAAGTACTCTAACCAGCTAACTCATGAGATGAGATCTTGGGACCAGTGTCCAATAGGTAGGTCCACAGACGCAGGGGTCGGGCCAGCTCCGCCTGGCCTGCAGAGCGGCCAGTGCGCGTCACTTCCCATCTCTGTGTCCAGTAACTATGAGCAGGTAGTACGGCGTCAGGAAGGTGGGAATATTTCCACCGTGGAAATGGACAGTAGCTGAAATCGGGCTCTTTGGCTCCCAACCCCACGTCAGTTGGTGAACGTTTATCTGCACGCTACTGACTGCACTATGTGTGTGCAAATTATTAACAATGGCACAGAGAAGGGGCTTATAAGACAGGCCCCCTGGACTCTAGGCCAGCTCACTTTGCTGGCTGTGCTACATGTATTAAGTTACTCTTTTTTTTTTTTTCATTGCTCTTCAAGTTCTCAAGACAGTGAAATACTTCATATATGTAATATTTCATATACAACTTTGTAAAGATAATTATGAGAATAAAATGTAATCATGAAGGAATCTTGAGAAATTGAAAGCTCTATACACATGGAAGAATTGTATTTTTTATTAATAAATGTGCTAGCTATTAAAAAAATACAAGAATTTGGTTCCTCAAAACTGAAAAAAGACATATCAGAAATCAGAGAAAGATTTTATCCAGGGAACCTATTGGCTTTATTTTTTTTTTTAATTATAAATGGTGCCAATGTTGTTTCACATGCCTTTCATTGAGCACCTGGAGGCTGAGGCAGGAGGATCACAGACAGTTTGAGGCCAGACTGAACTACAGAGTGTGTTTAAGGTTATCCTGAGCTATAGAATAGTCCAACCCAGTCTCAATAAAATTAAGTCACATTTTAGAATGTGCTGTGTCAGCATCTAGGGGATGTTGTTTCTCTCTTGTTTTGCTTTTAGTTAGTTACATTACTCTCAGGTATTACAGTTGTAAAGGTGGAAATCGTCCAAGACATCCCCCCGCTTTACAACTCTAGAATCTTTTTGTTTTCTTTTCTTTTTGAGACTGTGTCTTGGTACGCAGTTCAGGCTCGCCTTAAATTCACTGTATAGCCCAGGCTGGCCTCCAACTCCTACCTGAAGCCTCCTGCCTCAGCCTCCATTGCTGGGACTACAAGCTTGCACCACCACACACATTTAGCATCCATCTAAACAAAGCTTAAGATCAGAAAGAATGTTAACTTCATTACTTACATCAAAATTTAACTAAGCAAACATGTAAAAAATAGATTATGTTTATCCTAGTTTAGCAATGGCAGGTATTTCCCACTGAATAAAGACAGGCAACGTTTTAGTATAAACATTCAATAGGAATGAGTCTCCATTGAGCATAATGGAACACACATAGAACTTCTTTTGATTGTGTGTGAAATCCCAGCCAAGGGAGCATGGTGGAGAGATCTGAGATACAGTAAATTTAGTATAAGATAAAGAGCAGTAGCATTGCTTTCTGCAAAGCATATGTGAAAACAATTACCTTGTTATCAAAAATGTGTAAAAGAATATGTGACACAAGTATATTATGGACATTGTACTAACATGAGTAGTCTGGTAATTAAAAAGACAAGATAACGAAGAGTTCTAAAATAATTTTAAAAATTGAATTTACAGTAATTAACATTCTTCTCTTTTAGTTTTTAAGGAGTCTCATGAAGCACTGTTATTCCTGTGAATGAATGAGTCTAAAATTTGTTGGCGTACTTTACACTTTTTTTTTTTAACATTATTTGAGAACGTTATACTTCCTCTAGATTCTTAGTACCAAGGAGAATTTTATTTATTCATTTATTTATTTATTGGTCAAGGGTCTTTCTACATAGTTCTGACTCAGTGATCCTCCTGTCTCGGCCTCCCCATTGCTGGGATTACAGGTGTGCACCACCATTCCCAATTTCTGGGCCAGCACAGTACATCTGGGGTCCTGGGGCTCATACGACAGGCATGTGTTACTGGGGATCGAACTTGGGTCCTTGCACTTGCCAGGCAAGCATTTAGACCACTGAGCTACATCTCTAGCCAGAATTCATTTTGTCAACTGAAAGACAGGAGTGCATTTTCTTTCTACTTGATATAGAGTAGAAAGTATCCTTTCTGCTTTAAAGGATATTAAAAAAAAAGCAATGTAAAAAAAAATTCACAGATAATTAATGTCATTAGTACTCTTAACAAATTAATTAAAAATCATTTTTGGTTACTAGTGTGTACTTCTAAGTAAAAATTAAATAATGATGAATATTAACAGATGTTATGGTTTATTTCTAGTTGGCATATAAAACAAGTATTGGATTTTTGTGTTTTAATGGCATATGCCCAACCAAAGGCCACATATTATTTACAGGTGAGAACTTGGTATATAATTTAAATGACAGTTATTTTTCTCCCTGTTTCCTTTACTTTCTTATTTCTTATTGTGTTCCTCTGCCTTCCTTTGCACCAGAAAACAGAAAATACTATTAATATTATAATATCAAAAACTTTAAAATTGATTGTATATTAATACTCTGGCTGGGATCACTGTGACGGAGGAAATTATAGCTGAAAAGAAGCAAGCTGAAAAGAAAATCTGAATTATGGAGAAAAAAAGAAATTGCACATTTTTTTTCTGTTCACAGTTTTACCAGATTAAGAAAGTATATTTTAATTACTTCCTTTTTTTTTTTTTGGAACTGGGTATTGAACTCAGGCCCTTGCGCTTGCCAGGGAAGTGCTTATTCCACTGAGCCATCTCCCCAGCCCAATTACTTCCTTTATGATAGACATTGTATGTGCTTTTCTTTTTTTTTTTTTTTTTTGTTCCTCGAATGCCTTCAGGGCACTTTTGGCCAGAGGCTAACAGCTTTGTGGAAGCAGCCACTTAAAGGCCTGAGCTAGGGCCAGGCCCCCATGTATGTGCTTTTCTTTTCTTTCTTTCTTTTTTTTTTTGATAGTACCCTTCAGATTTTATTTGCTCTTTCAGATTATTACACTAGGGAGACAATACGATGCTTGCACATGTGGGTCTGATTTATTTCACTTAAGAGTTCGTTTTTTTCCCTACATCACTCATACCTTGAGTTACATAGCTCCACACTGCCTAATATATGTGTAAACATAAATCAGTTCTGTAGTTTTAACCTCTCTTTCCCTCCATATTTTTAGGTAGTGATGTGTGGTTGCAAAAAAATAAGTCTACCTCGCTAACTGGAAAGTGGAGAGAAAGTTAGAGAAAGGTGGATAGCGAGATTTCCTCTTTTCTTAGCAAAAAATCCTTTCAATCTCTACTTATTGGCAATAGAATGGAAACAGAAGAGCCAGCCAGAGCAGTCCCTTCAGTCTGAAGTGGCACAGTTCTATCCTGTGCACTGGCAGTGTGCCTGAGGTCTGCCATATTGTTCAGAATCATTCAGAGGGCCCTAGATGTTTATAGATTACTCATAATCTATATTAAGTGAACTAAATGGAAAGAAAACTAGCTCTTGTTTTGTGTCCCCTCTCCTCAGGAGCCCTATTTGTAGGTGTCCTTGTGTCATCTTTTGGACCTGCTAACTGTGGCTGGGAAGAGTTCACTTCCCTTTTGTCATCTCTCTGCCACGGACTGCTCAGTCAGTCACAGACCTGGAAACAGAGCATGGTCCCTGTCATTTGGGGCATCAAGTCAGTCTTGCTGTCAACAGGATGTGTGTGCCTTGGCCCAAAATGACTGTGTTGAGGTCCTGGCCCCCAAAGCAATGGTAGAAGGTGGCTGGGGCCTTTGGAGGTGATCAGGTCATGAGGGCACTGTGTCGTGACTGGGGCTAGTGCTCTCAGAAAACAAGCTCCGTGCACTTCATGAGGGTATAGGAGAAACCACTACAAAGAGCCCGCTGTCAGCATGCACTGAATCTGCTGGTGCCTGGACCTATGACCTCCAGCATCCACAACAGTGAGAAATAAATGAGCGCTGTGTAGCAGCCAGGCGGCCTAAAGTACTTAGTGATAGCAGCCCAAATCTGACTTAGAAACTGAAGTACTTGGGAGAGTGAAAGTGGATTTTGACAACTAGACTCCTCCATGGAGAATATAACAGTATAGGTTACTGTTCAGGTAAGCTAAAGATAGTGTTTCCTCTGGTTACTTTCAGAATCAGAAAGTTAAAGCTGACTATAAAATGTCCTTAGTGAATTTGACTGAAAATAAAGTTTTTATCTCATAAAAACGTCTTTTCCGGGGCCAGGGAAATGGCTCAGTAGAATAAGCACTTCCCTGGCAAGCACAAGGGTCTGAGATCAATCCCTGGTTCTGCCAATAAATAAACAAATAAATAAATAAAATCTCTTCCATGTATTTCATTGTAAATATTTCTATTTTCAAGCTCATGTAACTTGCTCAATAGGAGCATTTAAAATTTGTAATGCCATTTTGAGTTTTTTCCAGCTGGAAGATGACATTATCGCTAAAGAGATGTACTTTACAAAATTAACAAGATTTGTAAATAATATGACTTCGAATGATTGGCTCTATATTAACTTTTCAGTGCTGGGATTTATAGGTAAGTAACAAATTTTATTTTGTCGAGTCAAGCTTTTATTCACACAGCACTCTTCAAACTTAAAGAATTTATCAGCAAATTGGTTACTAAATGGAAAGGAATGGTATAATTCCTATAATTGTAATTATAAAATCAGCTTCAGTTATCTCAATTTCACATAACACATTTTTGAACAAAATTTTCTACATATATAACATAAAAGAGCAAAACAACATATACATACGTAGATTTTATAAATAAGCAATAGCAACCATTTACTGAGTCTGGCACTTGTTGGCCTACCTAACAAGCACATGAAAAACATGTATTTTTTTCTCTTTTTTATGTAGAAGAATACCGAAGAGCTCGGGTAGGGCTAATTGGTAGAGTATCAGATTAATATGATCCCTTAGTTATTGCAGGCTGGTCAGACCCAGAATCTCCCAAACAAGTGTATGGTGAAGGTTTAAATAAATGAGACAAGTGGTATGATTTTAGCGCTTGAGGGGGATCAAAAACTCTCTCATAGAATTCGAGATTCTCTGGGTTCCGACCAAGAACTTCTTTTTCTCGGGGCAGCCATATTTGGTTTTCAAACAAAGGAGAAAGATATTGAAGAAAATGTGGGAATCTAGCAGAACCTTGAGAAATATTTTGCCAAGTAGTAAATTATGTCCATTGGAAGAACTACCTTGTCTTTAGGTTGACATCTATTGTAGAAGGGTGGAGCCTGCAGCTGCAGTCTCCTTTTAGTTAATTGGGATGGAGTCAAATGTCCTCAACAGAAGCCTTCTCTTGTTCTTTGAGGCATCCCAGCTTTACAGGCCAATACAGGCCTCAGTGAGGACCAGTGACTCACAGAGCTTCTCTTGTGATGAGTCCACTGCCCATCTCCGGACGAGGGCCCAAGCTTAGGCAAACTCACACATCAACATGGAGAGCCAACTGGTTGATATTAAATTCTGCTCAAAGCCACTTTGTAGTGATCTCCAACAGTAGAGCAAGGACGGAAACCTACATTCAATCTCCTGCACCAGAAAAATAAAAAGAAAGAGAAAAAACTGAGTCTCATAGAAATGAAGTCATAAAGCCAGGAATTTTTATCTCAGAACTATTGTTCTCCAGCCTCTGAAGTTTCTAGCTTACCAGAGTTGACATTCTCTAAGGATGATTTATCCCCACTGTAGAAAACTGTCCTAAACTGAGCTTGTACTTTGACTTTTTTTCTCCAGTTCACCTAGATTTCTTCTTCATTCCTTCCATTCTTCTTTCTTCCTTTTTCCTTTCAGAACTTGAAGGCATCATGTTGAATTTCACAGTGTGACATTATTGATTTATTAATTATTTATTCACATTATTTTTTCATTTCATTCTTTTCTTTTTTTCCCAGGCCCTATCTCAACTTTCTCCCACAACCTAAGAGGTTTCCATTTAATATGTCCAAAATATAAATATACATATATTCAGATAAAGCATTTAGGGTTTCCCATGTTTGTATCTGCTTTAAATTTACTTCACAGGTGGTGGCTCCCTAGCTCAGGGGTTAGAGCATTGGTCTTGTAAATTTACTTCACTGCTAACATGGCAAGCTTATTTCTGTTCTTTGCATTTTTGTTCTCAAAACTAGATTTAAAAACTCTCAACATGTTGCTTAATGCTCATTTAGTGTACTGTTTCTTATTGATGCATACATGCTGCAGAGTAATCACTTGGCTTACCTATCCATTCCCTGAGTGGAAAACCTTCATTATTTCCAATTTTCAACTACCCTAGAAAAAAATGAAATGTCTCCAGTGTTCCCTGAGGTGGGACTGCTGAGGACAAGTACAGCTGGGTAGCTAGTAAAGCCTGTTGCTTTGTGATTGGTGCTATCATTTATGCTGGCATGAGGAAAGTGTATGAATGTTTCTCCATAAGTTTGTCAACATTTGCTTTTATGTCTTTATTTTATTTTTGCTGTCATTCAGAGGACTGTGAAGCTTTTTCTGATTGCTAATAAGTGGATCTTCTCTTCATGTGCTTAATTGGTTGCTGTTCTTCCTTAATTAATTTGTAAAATGTTAAGGTTTTTACTCAGCTTTTGCCAAAATAAGGAGAAAAATTGTAGGTACTTGAAATACCTGGGATGAGAAGCTTGGAAAGGATTTGATGTGAGGGCTGTACTTAGTACTCTGAGAACTTAGCATTTTCAAAGAATTCATCTTTCTCAGCAAGTTAGGTATAAAAGCACAGAGAGCACAGTACTCAAATTCTAACCCCAGAAGGGCATGTTGAACAAGGACCGCTGTATGCGTGATGCTGAAATCTTACCTAAGCTTCTTTTCCCAAAGACTTTGCTTTTTGCTGTCACAGGAACAGTTACTTATTCACTATTGGTTGAAAATATGAACCTGACAAGTAGAATTTTATAGCATGCTAACAGCAGATTATGGAATGAATGAAATATTTCCATCACTGAATCACTTGTTCTGGCTGGCTTCTATATAAATGACTACTGACATTTAAAATCCACCTGTTTGCCAGGGAGATAGCCCAGTGGAATAAGTACTTGCCTGGCAAGCGCAAGGACCTGAGATCAATCCCTGGTACCGCAAAAAAAAAAAAAAAAAAAAAAAAGTGGATAAAATCCACCTGTTTGTTTGATTAAAGTGACCCTCATAGACTGAAGGACAGGTAAAAATTGAAACCTCTTCACATCTGACTATGAACCTTATTATTTGGTTATAGGTATTTTACATTATTTACTTCAAAATGAAAATTTAACTGAATGTTATTCCTTCAGGTTTTTTTTTTTTTTTTTTTTTTATGTCTTTGGTATAGGGTCTCACTATGCAGCTCAGGTTCTTAGTGATCCTCCTGTTTTCAGCCTCCCCAATGCTGGGATTACAGGCGTGTGCCACCAGGCCTGGAAATGGTGACTGGTTCAGTGCACCTGGGGGCAGGACTGGCACTGCATGTGGTGCTGGGATCAAACATAGGTCTCTGTGCTTGCCTAAGCAAGTGCTTAGTCTGCTGAGCTATCTCACTGGCCCTTCAATTTCATTTTAAAACTAAAGATGTGATACGTTATACAAATTAATGGAGGAAATAAAATCAAACTTAAAATATAGTAACTATTTTAAATATGATTTAAGAATCATAACTATAGAAAATTCTGAAAAGACAGTGCTCAAATATTGAAATAATACAACATTTTTAATGAAAATTGAATACCAAAAGTGAGTATGTGATAGATTGATAGTGCTTCAAAAGTGAGTGAAAAAATCAGTTTCTATACAATTAAGAAATTTTGGCTTTCGTAATTTCTATTTGATTGTCTTTCCCTTGATGTAGATAATCAATTTCCATTAGATATCAAAATTTATTTCCTAAGAGCATTGGTTAAACTTATACTCTTTTCCTTCAGAACTTGTACTCCTTAGGGGCTGGGGAGATGGCTCAGTAGAATAAGCGCTTCCCTGGCAAGCACAAGGGCCTGAGTTCAATCCCCGGTTCCACAAAAAAAAAAAAAAAAAGAACTTGTACTCCTTAATAAATACTTACGTAGATATAATGTTTTACTTCATTATCTTTCAACTTCATGCTTTAAACTTTATTTAACGATATATTTAAGTTATAGTTATTTTTTCTCTTTTCTCACTTTAATGGATTTGACAACTATTTGTGAGTTATTTGCATTTCTCTCCCTTTTCTCCATAGGAAAATTGTTCAAATCTGAAGACTTGGCTGGCTTTGTACATTTTTTTTTAATGTTCCACAAAGAAAGACCTATTGACTTACTCTTAGATGAATTTTTTCACATAAAGATATGTGATGTAGGAGAAAAATTAGTGAGTATTTCTTTATATTATCATGCCAAATATGTTAAAACATTATCTATTTACTGTGATTATCCAAAAGTAATTCACTAAACCACATCTGATGAGTGCGTCAAATTTTTAAACTTCTGACCACCTATTTACTGAAAGTTTCACACACTAAATAATGATAGGCCCTATAAAAAAATGTTCAACATCATTAGTCGTTCAAGAGATGTAAATTAAAACAACACTGAGGTACCATCTTATGCCAAAAAGATTGGCTATCATCAAGAAGTCATCCAATAACAAATGCTGAAGAGGCTGTGAGGGAAAAAGAGCCCTTCTCCACTGTTAGTAGAAGTGCAGGCTGGTACAACCATTATGGAAATCAGTATGGAGGTTCTTCAAAAAGCAGGGCTGGAGGTCCCATTTGAGCAAGCTATTCCCTTCCTAGATATTTTTCCAAAAGAACTGAAATCATCACACCACAGCAATATATGTATACCCATGTTTAGAGCACCACAATTTGTCATAGCTAAATCTTGGAAACAACCCAATGCTCACTAAATGAGGAATGCATTAAAAGGATGTGTCATTTTTACACAATGGAGTTTTATTCCACTATAAAAAAGATAAATTTGAGACTTTGTAGATACATGGATGCAGCTAGAGACTAGATTGGTAAGTGAAATAAATCAGATCCACATGTGAAAACATCAAATTAAAGAGCAACATAAGAAGAAATCATGGATCAAGGAAGCAAGTGTATACTGATAAATGTTCAATTCCCCTAGAAGATAGAGCAATCCTGAAAGTGTTTACATCCCACGGTAGAGTCTCAAACTACACCAAGCCAATATAGAACTGAAAGGAGAAATAAATTCACCTATCATCATAGTTGTAGACTTCAACCTTCCTCTCTTAGTACTCAATAGATTGGTAGATGGAAGCCACTAAGGAGATAAAAAGAACTGAACAATGAGATTAGCCACTGAATTTGATATTTAAAAACCACTACACCCAGCACATAGCATAAGCTTTAAAATTTTAAACTGAGATAGCATCGGATGCACAAGTTTAATTATCACATTGTTTGTCCTCTGTGAGAAACCAAAGGTAAGTGAGGAGGAGCACAGATACTGGGAAGCAGGAAGAACAAGTTCAAATGGAAAGGAAAATGGGAAGTGGGAGGGAGAAGGGAAGGAAAAAAAACGGAAGGGAAAAAATGGAAACAAACTTTGTGTCAATGTAGTGGGAAAAGAAATGTTGATGGGAAGGGTGGAGGGTGGGAAATACAAGAATTGAGCTGTGTTATGCATAGGCACAAAGCCCCCACCATGAATATAATTAGTACATATGACAAATATGTAGTAATAAAAAGGGTTTTTGTTTGTTTGTTTTTTCAGAACCAGGGATTGAACTCAGGCCTTTGTGCTTGCCAGGCAAGTGCTTATTCTACTGAGGCATCTCCCTGGCACCAAGAATAAAATTTTTTAAAAATTAAAATTTGGAAAAAAAGTATAAAACAAACTGAAATAACAAAAGGTATATTTTCTGGTCAAAGTAGACTCAAATTAGAAATCATTAACAGATACCTGGAAAATCTCCATCAATTGGAAATTAAATAACAAACCTCTCAATAAACCACAGATAATAAAGGAAGCCTCAAAGAAAATGAGAAAATCCTTTGAATGGATTTAAAATATCAAGTAACATTTGTGAAATGCAGATAATGCACCATTTAGAGAAAAAAAATTATAGTACTGTCTACATAAATCTTACAATAAAGACCTCACATTAAAAATCTAAGCTATCTTAATAATGTAGAAAAATAAGCACCAAATTCAAAGCAAGTGAAAGGAAGAAAATTAAGATAAAGGTGAAAAAACTGAAAGAGTAAATAAAGTCTGAAAGGTACAATAGATGTCGTGAAAGGGAAAGAAATCACTCGAGAAAGGAAAAAAGAAAAAAGGGAAAAAATTACACACAAGATAGCTAAGATGAAGATACTGCTAATTTCTATTGGTTTATTGAAAGGAACAGGTAACACTTAATTTTTTTATTTGACCAACTTTACAAGTTTATATCTGGTAATCTGAGCAACTACTTTGAAGATAACCATATACAATGTAATAACTTGTTGATTTCCAATACCAAAAAAGCAAAACATAAAAGCAACAAAGAAAATTAAATAATTAAAAAAAAAAAAAAAAAAAACAGCAACAAGGGCCAGTGAGATAGCTGAGCAGGCTAAGTGCCTGCTTTGGCAAGCACAGGGAGCAGGGTTTGATCCCTGGTCCTGCATGCTGCACCAGCCCCAGCCCCAGGGCATGCTGAGCAAGTGATCAAGTTCGGGCGTGGTAGTGCACGCCTGTAACCCCAGCACTGAAAACAGGAAGATCACTAGAAGTCTGAGCTTCATAGCAAGACCTTGTACCAAATACATAAAATTTTTAAAAAGCAACAAAACTGATAAATTATTAATAAAAATGACAAAAAGGCATAAGCTATAAGTAGTAGAACTATTATGACAGACTTTACAGACATGAAAAGTTAATTGACTATTATAATTACATGCATATACATTCATCAACTTAAAAAGTCAACAGACCATTTATCAGAAGTTACAAACTCACTCGATGAAATATGTCATGTGAATAGTTCTATATGTACTAAGTAAAATTGAATTAATAATTTAAAACTTTCAGAGAAAGAAACTTCCATATCCAGATAATATAAATGTAAATTCAATGTGAACATTTACAGAATTTTACACCAATTACATATATCTTTCACAAAAATAACAGAAGTGGCACATCCCAACTTATTTTATAAGTGCAATACTACCTTGAAAACCAAAGACAGAGCAGAAAAACACTTCACAAATAAATATTTTTCATGAAAATGAATGTGAAATGCCTCAACCAAAAAAACAGCATTGAGTACCACAATATATAAAAAGAATACTGTGCATACATACCAGTGGGTGTTTAATGGGCATGAAACTGGTTTAATATTTGAAAAACCATAAAATGTGATCTCTAAATTTGGAGATGGCTCAGTGGAATAAGTGCTTCCCTGGCAAGCACAAGGGCCTGAGTTCAATGCCCGGTTCTACCAAAAAAATAAAAATAAAAAAATAAGATGGCAAAGAAGAGCTACCTATTAATCCTAGGATAAAACAAATATTTCACAAAATTGAACACTATTCATAAGAAAATTCTCAGCACACTAGAGAGCTAGGAGTAGAAAGCATTTAATCAAAATAGGAAACTTTCGTTATGCAAAAGATACTATTAAGAGGATGACAAGATATGACAGACTAGGGGAAAATATTTGTAAATTCTATGTTCAGTGAAAGACACTGGAAAAAAATACATAAAACACTGAAAAAGAAACAGGCAAGCAAACAATCCAATTAAAGAGCAGGCAAAGCTTTGAACAAATACTTTGCAGACTCCATCCACTTGTTACCACTCTTACTGTGATAGGAAATGAACTCAGATATATTTTATCAGCAGTGTATTTGGGGAGTATGGAGGGAAGTCCTAGCATTTGGCACTACAACTTTTATCAACAGCTTAGCAAATATTGTTGTATTACATTTTAACTGCTCAACTAAACTTGTTTGATGTAATTTAGTTCGGTTAACTCTAGATCATTAAATTACAATTATAAAAATAATTCCTTAGTATAATATTTTTTTTCTTATCAGTATTGGGGATAAGTGCTGTTTAAAAATAATTTTATATATATAAATGAGATTACTTTTTCAGGATTTAATTTACATAAAGTCTATAAAATAATTCTCAGACAGTGATCATAATCACTTCAGATATTTTTGGGTTGCTTTGTGGTACTAGATTTGAGACCAGAACCTTACACATAGGAAGCAGGAACCCCACCACTGACCTACCTTCCCAGTCACAAATGCTGCTTTTCAATAGGAATGAGGCCACAGATCATCTTTCTTATTTTCATGGCGATTACTCAGTGTTATCCATTAAATGAAATATAGACTGTTTGCTTTAATGATACGCTTTTATTACTAAGAAGATATCAAGGAAGATATAATTCAACCCAAAATTCATAAATATAGAAAAGGAAAGACAGAATAATACAGTGTGACAGAAATGGATAGAAAGAAAATACTAAAGATTTTGCTTAAATCATTAGAATAAAAGAAAAGAGAAAAATTCTAGCTATAGCCTATTTTTAAAAGGCAGAGTTCTCAAAAATATGTGACTTAAGTAAAATCTTTCTTACCCCAACTTTTGTGCTGCTATTGCTATGAAAAAGAGTAAGACTTAAATCTTTTTAATTTTTAAAATATTAACATAGAACTCTAGCAAAAACTAACAAAATAAAAACATTGCTATCCGTGAAAGCAATAGAAAGAAAAATTGGGGTTTCTACAGAAGATTATTCTTTCTTTTTTTCTTTCTCGCTAGGAAAAATGCAAGGAACGAAAGAGGGAAATTCAGGTGGAATATAAACCTTCTCTTTTCCAACACGTGGGCATACATTCGTCATTACCCGGACGAGAACAATACTTAAAGGTAAGATTTTTGAAGTATAATTTTGGTAATGTAATGTTTCATAAACTTGTAAAATTTTATTTAGAGAAGGTGTAGTAGTGTGAAAGAGATGATAAAATATGGTGATCTAAACACCATTCTAAACTTCTTTGCCTTACCTTTTTCATGTATGCAACAATAGCGCAGCGGAGTAGAGAGCCTTCAAGCAGGTGCGGGGCCACAGGTTCGATCCCCAGGCCTGTGGTGCTGGCCCCGTCCCCGGGGTGCGCCGAGATGGCAATTGAGATTGGGCAAGGTGGCGCACGCCCGTAATCCCTGCTCTTGGGGGGCTGTAAACAGATGGATCACTATGAGTCCGATCTAGTACTGAGACCCTGAACACCCTGGTGTAGACCCTTCCCTAAAAAATACAAAAACAAACAAACCAAAAAAAAAAAAAAAAAACCAAATGAGACTCAGAGTGTTTTTGAAAATTATCATGTAAAATCCAAAATTATCAACAAAATGGTAAATTGTTATGAATCATACATATAGAGATTTCAAACAATACTTAATTTAAATGCATCAATGTTTTTATTCAGACCACTGTTAACCAGTGAAGAAAAATGCAGTGTTGTCATTCTTAAAATGTACATTTAAAAAAAAATATTGATAATTCTGCTTCCTGCCACTGTGACAAAATATGTAAGATAATTAGTTTAGCCAGGAAAAAGGTTTCCATAGGCTCATGGCTTCAGAGGCGTTTGCCCCGCTGCTTTGGGTCTGTGGAAAGGTACAAACATCACGGTGGGAGAATATAGCAGAGGAGCGGCTCATCTCATGGCAGTTAGATAAGAAAGCAGAGAGAGGGTGGGCCATAGTGTCCCCGTGATGGCCGAGCTTAGCTGTCAGCCTGAGTGGCGTGGGTCCATCCAGGAGATTGGTAAGGCACACTCCTGCAAGTGGGTCATGAGGCAAGTGGGTGTGATGCACGCTCTCTTGCCCTCCCTTTCCTGTGCGTTCCCTTGCTCCACTTCTCACTGTGAACTCAGCTCCTCCACACCTTCCTGCCATGAGACTCCTACCTGAAGCCAGACTGCCATGGACTGGACATCCTGACACCATGAGCCAAACTGAATCTCTCTCTCTCTCTCTCTCTCTCTCTCTCTCTCTCTCTCTCTCATTTATGTATTTGGTACAGGGTCTCACTATGCAGTTCAGGCTCATTTTTCAGTCTACCCAGCTCTGGTTTTACAGGCATGTGCCACCACGCCTGGACTCGGTCACTGGCTCAGCGTGGGGCGGGTGCAGCATGTGGGACCGGGGATCGAGCCTGGGTCCCTGAGCTTGCCAAAACAGGTGCTTTATTCTGCTGAGCGATATCACTGGCCCTGAACTTCTCCTTTAAGCTGTGCATGTTAGATGTGGTGTCCCAGGCACAGGAAGCGCACAGAGCCCCCTCCCAGTGCCCTAGCTGCCTCCCACTGTCCCCACCTCTTAAAGACTGCACCACCACAGAAGAGCATCCTAGGCTGGACCACGTGTGCAACACACAAGGCTTGGGGGCTGGGATTATCCACACCACAGCAGCATCCTGACAGAGTGTAGGAAACAAAAACTCAGAGTCACAACGCCAAGAGGGTAGTCATGATGACCTGGGGGTACACGGTGTGTCTGGTATTTGGCAAAGCTCCTCTGAGCTTCCTTCATCTCTACAGTGAAGAGTTTTAATTAAATGATCTTCAGGGCATCTTGCACCCCTGCAATACCATCAGCATCTCTAACCTCAGTGTCTGCATACAATGAAGGAAGCTATTTCTTTAATCTTTTGTCATTTGAAAGAAGAAGTGCACGCATGCGTCCTCCCACCGTTCGCGGCCTGCCCTCCTCCACCTGTCCCGCTCTGCGTCCGTGGCTCCCGCGGCGCTCGTTAGAGGAGCGCGTGACGTGGTGTAGCTTGGCCGGTGCCCGCTCTCCGCTGGCAGGTCAGCTGGAGGCCCGGAGTAAATGGACGCATCGGATACAGCACAGAAGTGCTTGGAATAATGAAGGCGTAACGGTTGTGAATGCTTACATAAAAACTTACATCGTTGAAATGCATAAATCATAGCAGCAGAGAACACAAAGAAAGACAGGTCCATTTCATTTCATGTCCTGGGCTATAATAATGACATTCATTTCGTACATTATTTTTGTTTTTGCCAGAAAATATTTTAAATTAACTTTGGTAAAATTCTGACAACTTAAGAATATACACCTAAACACTCAGGATTTTGAGAGCCTTTTTTGTATTTGTATTTTATAGCGTCTAAAATAGAAATCATTAGCAACTTAGTAGTATATTAAGTATGAGCCTATTCAAATTGCTTTTAAAATTTCCTGACAGGATTATTTTTATTAGGAGTTTCATAATTGAAGAGCTTCTTCAAAAATTATTTCACTCATTCCCTGGAAAAATAAAAAATATGACTGTTTCTCAACTTTCTTAAGCATAAATAAGAAATTACATTATATTTTTTAAAAGTCAAATGGTAAGTATAAAATTAATATGAACATATAGATAATTATCGTTATTTGTTATATTTTAAATCCTGGTGTTCTGTAGATGCTTTGATTTCTATTTTGTTTTCATTCTTTTAAGTGTTTCTGAAAACTTTTACATGAAATTTGCTCCTTAACCTTTTAAATTATGTATTATACTTACAAACTTTTAAATAAAAGATAATTTTTATACCATAGTCTAGTTAAATTACAAAATAATTTCACCTGTAATCATCTAGCTTATGGTTTTAAAATAATTTAATGACACAAAAATTATAAGGCCTTCTTAGTAATGAAACTTCTTAGATTTTTAATGTTTTGAAATTTGCCTATCGTCACTTTAATGCTCTTTAGTGAACTATATTCTATATCAATAATAAATATAATGTCATCTTTTAGAAATAACAAAATATTTTGACAATAACATAATTTCTGAGAACTCAAAAAATACTCAAAGCAAAGGATTTCTTTTATAGTTGAAAAGCGAGTGAATAATGCGCTTTTCTATAATTTGCTAATGGTCCTATAGGAAAAGCTGTTCTTTAAAAGCAGTGCACTGGGTTCAGGGCTAAGGATTTAAAAGCACTGGAGGCAGGGTTGCCAAAAGGTTCTGCAGTACAGCCAGTTCTGGAGGCAGGGTTGCCAAAAGGTTCTGCAGTACAGCCAGTTCTGTCGCACGTCAGCTGAACAATGGCTTCTTACGTGTGTGGATCCCTTCTGTTTTGTTACTGTGTGTTACGATCTCATTGAAGGTGGTGGGGAGGGGAGAAGGAGTAGGAGAGAGCCTTCCCCTCCAAATGGTTTTGCCTGAATTCTTCTTTGAAGGTATATTGTTGGCATTTATTGAAGAATGATACACAACATGTTTGCATTTTATTCAAAGCTATTAAAGTTTTATAGTTCTCCTTTATGTAATGAAAAGGGATAGTGTGATGTTATAAAAAAGGACACAAGAGGAAATAATATCAGGAAATCATAGAAATAATTTATCTGTATAAA